GGCTGGTGGGGGAAGGAGGCCCCAGGCCCTGCCCCCAGGGTGAAGGAACTGGCCACCCAGCTGCTCTCCGAGCTGAAGCTTCAAGGCAAGTGCCTGCCTGTCCTCGGTGACTTGGACCTGGGTGCTGTGGAGTGGGGCCCGCCGCCGCCACTCCTGGAGCCAGCGGCAAAGCCTGGCAGTCAGAGTGTGAGCCCCCAGCCCGTTACCCTGGAGGCAGCTTCCCCACCCCCTTCTTCCTTCTGCACAGCAGTGTGCGTCTGCTCTTAGCTCTTTTTCTTTTTGTTAATGCTTGTTGCTGTAGGGCACATGCGCTCACTAGAGAGACAGGGACAGTGAGAGGGAGAGAGAGGTCACCTCTGGGGGATGGCCATGCTGTGGTAGCATCTCCTCCTTTCTCCCCTGAGATTTTGTGCCCGTTCAAGCTGCCAGGTCCGGGGCCTGAACTGCAGTCTGCCATGTGGGAGTCCAGCACCTTAACCACCACACCACCTGCTGATCCCTCCACTTTTATTTATTTACTTATTTTGAGAGTTTTTTGCTATAGGGCACATGCGCTTGCCAGAAAGAGAGAGAGAGAGAGACAGAAAGCGAGAAATCACCCCTCAGGCAATGGCCACACCACAATCCTTTCTCCTCCATTCTCCTCTCGGGATCTTGGGCACGCACGCACATGCACCAGGTGTGAGTTTTAAGCCACCGGATCCGGGACGCGAACCGCGGTCGACTACGTGGGAGTCCAGCGACATAGCCATTACGCTAACTGCTGGTTCCCGAGCTGTGTAATTTCTAATGCTTACGAATTCCTCAAGTGGCCTTCCAATACTGATATTTAGTTTTATTTCATTGTGGTTGGAGAACATACTATATATGATTTCAGTGCTTTAAAACTTATTGAGGCATTTAAAAAAAGTTGTTTTTTTTTTTAACTGCCAAAGGGCACGTGTGGTTACCAGAGAGAGGCAGAGGGAGACGGAGAGGAGAAAGCACCCTTCATGGTGCGTGGTCATGCCACGTTCCCCTCCACTCCCTACCCTGTCGGAATTTGGGCACACATGCACACACGCCCAGGATGTTTTTCAAGCCACAGGACCAGGATTCAAACCCCGGTCGGCCTGTGGCATTTGGCTCCCTTGCCTACTATGTTCTAGGGCTGATCCGACGCATGTTTTATGGCCTGTATATGTCGTGGTTTATGTCGGGTGATGCTCAATACTTGTCAATACTGAGAAGAATGTGTATTCTCTTGCTGGGTGATAAACAGTATATATTTAAAATTTAAAAAATCTTGTGGTGAATCTCTTTGCAAAGTGGGTTTAATTTGTAAACATGTTATTCTTTTATTATAAAGCCAGATTTTTAAAATATTCAATATTTAATTCGTGTATTATTTTTAAAAATCTGCTATATGGCACATGTGCTCACCAGAGAGAGTCAGAGAGAGAGAAAGTGACAGAGAGAGGAAGTAAGATACCAGGTCTGGGACTCAAACCGTGGCTGGCCATGTGGAGTCCAGCACCCCAACTACCACACCACTTGCTGGACCTAAAGCCAGATTTTTAAAAACAGTTTAAAAATACATTATACTGGGGTCAGCAGGTGCTATAGTGGTTAAGGCGCTGGACTCCCACATGGCCGACCACTGTTTGAGTCTAGAACTAGCAGCTTGAAACTCACGCTGGGCGTGTGTGCATGCGTGCCCAAAATCCCAAGAAGAGAATGGAGGAGAAGGGATTATGGTGTGGACATCCTCCCAGGGGGGTAATTTCTAACTTTCTGTCTCTCCAGTAAGTGCATGCTCCTTATAGCAAAATAACCTCTTTAAAAAATTATATTTAGATGAGATACTTGGAACTTGGAAAGAATAAAACTATAACATAAATAAATATCAGTAGTTTGTCTTATGGGTACTATTTATTGGTTTAAATCGGCATTTTTTAAAAGAAAAGTCATAAAAATAGAAAATTATATTTTTCAACCAAGTAGAAAAAGTTCAGGTGGAAGATGAAATCTGTCCCTGATATTTTCAAGTAATACACAGGTGATGAGAAAGGGAAGTGATCACACGTAGTTTAATTAGAAGTGACAGGAATTTCTGCGATATCCCGGAAGCTGGGGGTAGGAACTAGTTGGGTTTCTGCAGACCTGGTTATGAAACGGGCCAGCGTCAGAGAAGGCGTTAGTTCAGCTTAGCCCAGAGTTTCCGTGTGTCGGGAATCACGGTTGTTCTAAATCAAGTCTGTGCATGTCAGCAAGAGCTTTATCGCTTCTGTGGCAGAGTGCCTGTGTGAGACGGGGTGGGGTGGGTAGGCAGGGACAGGAAGCACCCTCAGCAGAGAGAGAGGGCATGAGGGCTGGGCTGAATTGTTAGGTCGGCCCTGGAGCAGGGAGGAAGCCCTCCTGCCTCGGTGGGCAGTGCGAGTGTGCTGGACCGCACAGTGCTGGAGGCCAAGTGAGTCCGGCTCTGCAGCCCGGGCGACCTGAAACGTGCTGTGTGTGCATGTGCGCTGGAGGCCTGTGGGAGGGGTCAGTGCGACAGACTCTGCCAGGGTCAGGCTCTCTCTATCAGGAAACACACTTAAAAAATAACAACAACAAAAGAAATAGAGCCCTAAACGACATTTACATTTTCATGTAACCACATTAAAATAGTAAAAGGAAGCAGGGCCAGCAGGTGGAGTGGTGGTTAAGGCACTGGATCCGGCGTGGCCTGCTCCATGGTTTGAGTCCTGGACCCAGCAGCTTGAAAAATATGCTGGGCACGTGTGCGTGCATGCCCGAAATTCTAAGAGAAGGGATTGCAGCATGGCCATCCTCCTTGGGGGAGATCTCTCACTTTTCCCTTCTCCATCTCTGGAGAGTGCAAGTGCCCTGTGTCCAAGAAAAAAAATAGTGAACAGAAATAAGTAGTCCGTCCAAAATGATTTTTTTTTTTTGCTTGCATGCCTGCCAGAAAGAGACAGGAAGAGACAAGAGAATGAGAGGAAGAAGAGAAAGTACCCTGCCCATGGGGGATGGCCACTCTACAGTCCCTTCTCTTCCATCGTCCGTCCTTTTGGGATTTCAGGCACACATGCACACATGCACACGTCTGGTGTGTTTTTCAAGCCTCTGGGTCTGGGACTTGAACCATGTAGTTGGCCAAGTGGGATCTAGCTGCCTTAGCTACCAGGCCACAGACCCTGCCCTCCCCTAGATAGACTATTAATGTATAATCAGCGTACAAAGCTATTCAGCTATCTTGCATTCTGTTTTCCATGCCAGGTCTTTGAAGTTGGGCGTGCTTACGTTTACACGCGCCTCAGTTCACACGCACCTCAGTTCAGGTGCTCAGTGGGTGCACACAGCTGGACACTCCCACTCGCCGCTCCCATGTCACGGGTGCGGGCCCAGCTCGTCGCCGCCGGGGATGCGATGGCCCCTCTGACGCTGGTCACTCTCCCCTAGGTGCTGAGAGGCTGCTGGGGCCTCAGTGGCTGGCCTGCGACTGTGACCAAGGCGTGATCGAGGACTGGGTGTTCAGGGCCCCCTACGTGGCCATGTTTCTGAGCCTGGTCATCCACCAGGGCTTTCTCGTCCTGCGCTCGTCCCTCGACCTGGCTGCCCTGCTCCCCGAGCGCCAGGCAGACCCAGAGAGGGAGTTCGAGAGCACCCTGGACGTCCTGTCCGTCATCCACATCCACTCACACCTGCCGCGGGAGCAGCGCGGCCGCTGGAGCCTGCTCTTCTCGTCTGAGCTGCACGGACACAGTTTCTCCCAGCTCTGCGGGCATATCGCCCAGCAGGGGCCCTGCGTGACTGTCCTCGAGGACCACGATGGCCACGTGTTCGGGGGGTTCGCCTCCTGCTCCTGGGAGGTCAAGCCTCAGTTCCAAGGTAAGATTGACAGCCCCAGCCCAGGGGGGTGCAGCCCAGGGAGGTGTCCTGGTCTGCCAGCGGCTACACGGACACCCCTGAGCCGATGGAGGGTAGAGGTGTCGAGAGGGCTTCTCCCAGGCCAGTCCTATGGCCTAGTGGTTAGGGAGCTGGATCCCACCTGGCTGACCATGGTTCAAATCCTGGCCCCAGTGGTTTGGGAAACATGCTGGGCACATGTACATGTCTGGAACCCTGAACAGAGGGAGACGTGGATGAGGAGGGGTCACAGTGTGGTCACACCCCATGGGGCGTGCCTTCTCCCCCTGCCCTGGGTGAGCCTGTGCTCCCTCTGGGAAATTAAAGTGGGGGGCTTCCTCATCTTCTCCAGGTGTTTTTCTTTCTTTTTTTGGGGAGAGGTTTTTGCTATAGGGCGTGTGCGCTCACCAGAAAGAGAGAGACAGACAGAAAGCGAGAAATCACCCCCTGGGGGGATGGCCACGCCGCAATCCCTTCTCCTCCATTCTCCTCTCAGGATCTTGGGCACGCACGCACAAGCGCCCGGCGTGAGTTTTAAGCCACCGGGTCTGGGACGCGAACTGCGGTCGACTATGTGGGAGTCCAGCGACATAGCCATTACGCCAGCTGCTGGTCCCATCCAGGTGTTTTTCTTGACACGCTTGGGGTGACAAGCATGCTGAAACACGCTGCTGCTCTGTGGTGGGTTAACAGCCACGGGTTGTTTTTGATCCATGGGGTAAAGTGGGCAGGACGGACATTGTCACCCGTTTCAGGCGAGGAAACTGAGGCCGCACTATTGAATGGCACCAGACTAGAGGTGTGGGAAAAGTCGGGTCGTGGTTTCCTCTCTAGGGACCGGGAGGTGCTGCCACTTCGAGGCGGGCGTTTCTCTCTCGGGTCGGCTTCCTTTCCCGGGCCTCTGCCTACGGTGCCCCCAGCCCAGGCTTGCTCTGCTGTGTCTTCTGTGGTTCTGGTCGTTTTCCCGTGGTGACTGTGAGACCCGGAAGCCTGGGCTGCGTGCTCCTGATGCACTGGCCGGACGCGCCGCATCCTTCTCGCCTGCCCCAAAGCAGGCCCTGATGGCGGTGGCTGGTGCCCACGCTTACCGAGGTGCGCTTCCTGCAGCGCCTCACTGTCAGGCCCTCCTCACCCCCGTGTGGGCCCTCTACCACCCAGAGTCTGCCATCCCTCTGTAGAGCTGCCGGAGCCAGGGCCTGTGTCGTGGGGAGGGCTGTTTCTGCAGAACTGCAAGGCCATAAGCCTAGGGTGGCAGGGAGAGCTCACTAGGCGAAGGCGGTGCTTCAGGATTTGATTTTCTTCCAGGTTTTAGTCTGGGAATAGCAGGAACCTTCCAAAACCACAGTCCCCAGACGCCTGCCAAGGGTGGCCTGGCCAGCGAGCTTCTGGAGCCCCAGCTGAGGCGTGCATGTAACTGGCCCCTGCGCACGTGTACCCTCCTGCCTCCTGGCACAGGAAGGGGGCATCTCCCGACCTCAGACCTGGGGGGAGTGTCAGGTGCCCCCTCACCATGTGTTGGAGGCCCTGCTCCGGCATCGAAGACCCCTGGGAGTCCTTGCTGCACAGCTTCCACTAATCCACTAACTAATCCCGATTCCAGACGGGCTCTGCTGGGTCTTAGCGTCCCATTAACAGACAACGTGGATGATGTCAGAAAAATACAATGACCAGTTTGCAACCCTGAGTTGTCTTAGAACTGTGAGGCCAACATTCCAGCAGGGGGCAGCCGTGTGCCAAGTGGCCCGGTCCGCGGAGCCCGGTCAGGCTCTGTGCTCAGCCAACGTTTGTTCTGGAAATAACCTCTTCATACCTGAAACTTCACGTGACTTAATGCCAATAAGGGCCCTTTTTTTAAAAAAAGGTTTTCAGTTTTGCTGCAGGACATGTGAGCTGCCTGAGAGACAGAGGGCAAGTAAGAAATCACCCCGGGGGGTAGGGCGGGGGTGGCCATGCTGCAATCCATTCTCCGCTCAGGATTTTGGGCACGCATGCACAAGTGCCTGATAGGATTCTCAAACTGCTGGGTCCAGGACTTGAACCACCCACTCGGCCATGAGGGATCTAACTGCCTTAACCACCACACTACTGGCCTGGTTCCTTCCTTTTTGCCTGTGCTTTCTGTGGTGCAGTTGAAGGACCGAGGCTGTGGGTTGAGCAGACAGGATTTTGAATCCTGGCTGGAGTCTCAGGCAAGATGCTTAGAACCCAGGCCTCAGTTCCCCGGAATTAAAGCTGCTCCTGGCCAGAGCTAGGTGTTTCTGAAACAACTGTCACATTTCTTAGTGGCTGCCGTTGTGACGCCCAAGCCCCCAGCTTACCTACCTGGCTCCATGGGCAGCCCTGAGGCTTGCCCTGCTGGGGCCTGCCCTGCCCGCTGGTCTCTGGGACGCAGCCCCCAGGTGTGATGGGCTCAGGGCACACCTGAGGACAGTCACCAGGTCTGTGTTGTTTGTACCACGCTCACTTCCTGGCCTTTGTGTCGGGGCCGACGTGGTGACCCTGCTTGTCTCGCTCTCTGGTCACTTTCAGGGGACAACAGATGCTTCCTGTTCTCCATCGCCCCCAGGATGGCCGTGTACACGCACACGGGCTACAACGACCACTACATGTACCTGAACCACGGCCAGCAGACGATCCCCAATGGCCTGGTGAGGACTCGGGGGAGCTGGCGGCGGGTCCCGTGGCGGCATTGATCCCGACACCTTCAGACCAGGCAGGGCCTTGGCGCCGGGCCCAGTTCTGCCCCAGGCCTCCCTGTTAGAGCAGACGATGAGGGCGGGGCTTCCTACAGGGCAGGACGAGGCCTGTGCCGGGCCTTCCGGTGGTCTGTGAGCAGGTGGTGAATTCGGCCTGTGTCCCAGGGTCTCAGAGGGTCGGTTTGTGGCCTGTGGGCTGAGATGGTGCCACACTGCCTGCCACTAGGCATTGCCGCCCCGCGTTACAGCCGGACGCCCTCAGCCCCGTCGTTGGAGGGTGGGGTACTGTGAGACGGTGCACAGGCCCGCCTTCAGGGGTGTGGCTCCTGTCTGGTCCTTGCTTCAGAAGAAGAGGAAGAGGGTGAAGTCCAAGGAGGGCGGAGGGCTGCGTTGGCGTGGGCAGCCCAGACAGGGCCGAGGTGAGATGACGTGCCCACACACGGTCAGCTAGGCGAGGACAGGCCTTCCCGCTCCCAGCCCTTCTCGCTTTGTGCCCAGGAGCTCCTTTGGAAAGTCTCACCCCTGCTTGCAGAGCTGGGCTGAGAAGGCTACCCAGCTGGGTGGCCAGAAGTCCAGATGGCGTGCAGCTGCCGCAGGGCGTCAGGACCTGCCGGGCCCCGAGGGCACTGGCAGCAGCCTGGTGCCTGCCGGAGCGAGCACTCCCACCTCACACCCAGTGGTCCCATAACCCCCAACGGACACACTCTGTGCTGGGTCTCTTCCTGCCCCGGGTCAGAACTAGTGCCTACCACGTGCCCCAGGGCCCACTAGGGGCCAGGGAGGCAGCAGTGGCCGTCGCTTCGAGGCTGTGTTACAGGGAGGCGAGGTGGAAACGTTCTCTCGCCGAGCCAGGCCATGTGTGGAGAGAACAGGGTTTGAATCCACCCCTTCCCTCCACCCCGCTCCTGGTCTTACAGCCGACAGTCTGAGTGCATGAGTCCCTGCCCAGAAGTGGCTGGGAGGACGGGGCCGAGTGTCTGCGTCCGTGTGCCCTCGTTCAGTGGCCTGGGCTTTGTGACTCTGCGGTCACTGTGCCTCCAGCCAGCCTCACCTGTGAGAAGGCCAGCGGGGACACCCAGAGACATCCTGGCTGTCCTATGACTTGCAGGGGAGGCTCATGTCACAGCAGTCGGGGGTCTGCACGGTTAAGCAGGGCCCTGCAGGCGACTCGTCCTTCGGCCTTGGGCTGGTGCCCGCGCGTGGTATCTGCAGGCCGAGGGGCTGATGCGGGTCCCTGTCTGCCTTTCTCCGCAGGGCATGGGCGGGCAGCACGATTACTTCGGGCTTTGGGTAGATGCCGACTTTGGGAAAGGACACAGCAGAGCCAAGCCCACGTGTACCACGTACAACAGCCCGCAGCTGTCCGCCAGGGAGCACTTCAACTTCCACAAGATGGAGGTGTGGGCCGTGGGCACGGCCAAGGGGGTGCAGCTGGTGAGTGGGCGCGTGTGCTGGGCACTGTGACCGTGGGGACCGTCCCTCACGCCCTTGGCTCCCCCTCCCACTTTTCCACCGGAGAGGGTTGAGGCCACTTGCTGGGGGACTGTTGCTCTGGACAGAGGCCGAGGGTGGAGTGGACGGCCCTGGGAAACGGACCTGCCTGAGGTGAGAACTTGGGTGGGCTGGGACCGTCACGACTTAGGTCACCATGACAGGTGTCACCCACGTCTTGGGCTGCGCCCTGCAGAATGACCATAAACACACCCTGGGATCCTGATGCTGGAGGTCACTCGGGGGGCCCCTCTGCCAGATGCACAGGGCCTGGGTTCCCTCTGGACCCCGGTTCTGTGAGCGCTTGGTACCGGAGAACAGGGGCTCAGAGAGGGCTTGGAGCCCACCTTTCCTGTGGCTTTAGCAGAGGGTTGACCCGTGCCCCAGAGCTGGAACAGGAGCAGGAAGTGACCGCAGCTCCTGGGCTGTGGGGAGCGACTCGTCTCTCCCTGCAAGTCCCTGAACACTGTCCCTTCCTGTCTTCTCCCAAGGGCGAGAGCAAGAGGAGCATCCTCGACACGGACCCCGAGGCCCGGGCCATGCTCGAGATCAGTGGGCGGCCGTGCCTCAGCAGCGGGTTCCGGGACACCTCCGAGGACTAGTGGGGAGCAGCCCGGGCAGCGGCCTTCCTGGAGCCAGTGCCTGGAGCTTCCTGGAGAGTGGTGCAGGCTAGACGTGCCAGATCTCTGGTCCCCCACACTGGTCCACGTGACATAGCGCTGCATGCCCATGTGCAGGGTGACCTGCAGGCGCTCGGCCGGAACTCAGCGGTGCCAAGAAAGCCCCCGTTGCCAGAAAGCCTGTGTCAGGTCAGCAGCTTCCCTTCCTCCTCGCTCACTGTGTGCTGGGAGAACCCTGAGGTGCTGAGACCTCTGCCAGTTGCCCATGCTGGCAGGGTGAGCTTCTGCCACGGAAGAGGGGCTCCCACCTGCGGGGTCCCCGGGCTCCTGCCCAGGCCAGCCCAGCTGTCAGCAGGCCTCAGTGGCCCAGCTCAGTTGGTAGAGGACACAGGCGTCTGTTTGAACCTCCATGCCTTTCAACAACAGCTTCTGAGGGCGCGGGGTTTCCGTGTCTCCGTGTGTATTGGCACAAGCCTCGACCGTCGGGGAATGGTGCAAGACTGGAAGCTGACGTGGCTCACGGCGGTGTGGGCCCTCAGCAGGGCCTGTACGTGAGGCGCCCTCAGCTGTCTGAGTCTGGGCTGTGAGCAGACGGGAGGGTCAGGCGGTCTGTCTTCGGACAAGCAAAGCCGTTCGTTCCTAACATCACTGGGGTCCCTCCCAGTCTGGGCGCGGCTGGCACTGGCCTGGGCTCTGGACCTCGGGCACCAACGGCTGGGTCACAGCCATCAGCATCACCCTGCCCAGGTCTGCTCCCCAAGGGAAGGGTGGAACTGAGTGCAGACTGCCCTGAACAGACCGCAGTGCTCCCGACGGGCTGAAGGTTACCTCAGTGGGTTAGCGTCGGGGCGGAGCTGCTGTCTGCCAGACGTGCTGCCCACACAGGCAGGACTGTATGCCCACGGGGCCCAGCCGTCCCCTCCGGGAACCCCCGACCTGGAGGCGCTCTGAGCTGGGCTGGGAGACGGCACCTCTTCCCGTCGTCTCTTGCTGTTAATCTTCGACCTTTTGCAGATCTGATGAAAACGCAGCCTCTTACCACATCGATCGCCTTGACGATAAGCCATAGTGACTGAGCCGTTTGCATTGCAGGGGCTGCTTTTTCTCAGGAGGGCCGGCACCCCTCCACTTAGCTATAGCCCTGACTAAGGCAGAAGTCTCACACACGGGTCTGCAGGGAGCACGGCCCGGCGCAGGGCGGGGCACAGACGGGGCTCAGGCCATCCATTTGCCTTAGAGAAAAGCAGGCAGGGACCAGCAGTTGGCATAATGGCTATGTCGCTGGACTCTCATGTAGTCAACCGCAGTTCGAGTCTTGGAGCTGTGGCTTAAACTTATGCTAGGTGCGTGTGCGTGCGTGCCCAAGATCCCGAGAGGAGAATGGAGGAGAAGGGATTGCGGCATGGCCATCTCCCTGGGGGGCGATTTCTCGCTTTCTTTCTGTCTCTCTCTCTTTTTCTGGCGAGTGCACGCGCCCTATAGCAAAAACCTCTCCCAAAAAAAGAAAAGCGGGCATCTGTTATCCTCTCGGGGGTGTGATGCCATCTTCCCTGCTGATGGGCTGGCAGGCAGAGGACAAGGGGACTTCAGAAGGTTCTTGGACAAACAGCAGCAAAGTGTTCTTCTGGTGCAAAAAAATTTGAAATCCACACTTAGTTTTTCTTTATTTTTTTTTAGTTTGATATGGGGCATGTGCGCTTATAAGAGAGAGATAGAGAGATAGAGATGAGAGGTGACAAATGAGAGAGAGAGGGAACCAGCAGTTAGCGTAATGGCTATGTCGCTGGACTCCCACATAGTCGACCGCGGTTCACGTCCCTGACCCGGTGGCTTAAAACTCACACCACGGGCGTGTCGTGCCCAAGATCCCGAGAGGAGAATGGAGGAGAAGGGATTGTGGCGTGGCCATCCCCCCTGGGGGGTAATTTCTTGCTTCTCTCTGTCTGTCTGGCGAGCGCACGCGCCCTATAGCGAAAACCTCTCCAAAAAAAAAAGAAAGAAATGAGAGAGAGGGGAAAGTGAGAAAAGAGAGAGGAAGGGGAGAAGTGAGAAATTGTCCTCCAGGGGTTTAGCCATGTCACAGTCCCTTCTCTTCCATTCTGTCTGCATTTTGGTCACACATGCACACGTTCTTGGCATGTTTTTCGAGCTGCTGGATCCAGGACTTGAACCTCACAGTTGGTCATGTGAGATCCAATGCCTTAATCACCACACCACCTGCTGGTCCCAGTGTTGATAATTTTTATATTTCCTAGGAAATGGTTGATTTTATCTGTCTGCAAATTAATTTACATAGGATTGACCGAAGTATTTGAAAATTTTCACAGTTGTTATTTCCCCCTTCCTGTCTCGTGTTTCCATTTTTCCTAGATTGGGTTCTAATTTTGTTCTAAAATTTTGCATTAATATTGTTCCCTTCTGCGTTTCTTATTTTAAAATTTTGGAGTCGGTTGTTAATTAAGTAAAACAAATGAGAGTCAATAAATACATGAGACTTTCCTTTGAGCTCTGAGTTATTTTGCAGTACTGCGTAGGTTCTGAGAGGTATGCATTCATGGGCGGCACCTAGATTTTCTGCCATTTTTATTTTGATTCCTTCGTTAACACTTTGAGATGCGAGAGAATTTCCCTAATCCTCTTCGTCCGTTTTTGATTCTACAGTGATTGCGCCTTGGAGTCAGTGGCAGTGGCTTACATGTAAGCATTGGACATCTTTGTGGGACGTGGTTTAGAAACTGTGTAAACAGTGTATAACAGCAGGTGAAGGGTAGGAATCAAGTCGTCAGCGTGCCCGTCATGCGGCGCACGTTCGATGTCCGTCGTCCTGGTGCGGGGGTATTGACTTCCTGGCGGCGTGTCACTCGTGTTCGTGTTCCGTCACCCCCTCCACTCACTGGCTTCCGTGCGTAGATGGTGCATCATTAACTTGCGTACAGTGGCCTGTCAGTCATTGTCCCCGGCACCCTCAGGCACCTGCTGCAGTTTGATTTGCGTCCTTTCGTGCCTTCAGAGTCACCTGGGGAATTTCTGTGTCTACCCGAAGAAGAAAGCTGAAACAAAGTAAGTAAAGCAAAAGACACTATTTGGGCCAGGGTCAGGGTAGTCAGCTGGCCCCACAGGACCCAGCTTGCCCTGAATATGGTGTGCCGAGGCCCCAGGTTCCTGGGTGACGGACGTCAAAGGCACAGCTCGTGACTGGGTAAAGGCACAGCCGTGTTGGGCTCCACACTATGATCGGGGCGCAGGGGGCCTCATGCTCACCTGGAGTCATTTCGCTGACTCTTAAGCCAAGTGTGCAAACAGCTGGTCTGGAAGGAAAGGGGGATGGCCCTGGGCAGGGCGACTGTCGGTCACGCAGCCCGGTGAGTCCAGGCGACCTGGAGCTACACTGGGCTGGGGTCCTAGGAAAGCCACAGATGCGAGAAGTTTCCTTTCCCTCCAGCGGTGATTCAGGTGGACTGAATCCTCTTTGCCAGAAAACCTGGCCTGTTTTGGAATCCTTCAGCTTCCTTAAAGTTTCAGTGTGGTGTGACATTTTAGCACGAGCGACTCCACCTGTCTGATCTGGGCCTGGCGTAGGAGCCTAGTCCCACGCCAGTGGGCTCCTGGAATTTGCATTGAACATCTGCAGGCTTTCTCCGGATTTCCCGTTGAACTTGCATTCTGGGTGGGTGACTGCCTTGACAGGGCCCTTCTTCGTCTCGCCCAGTGCTTTTGGCCTTGGTCTGTCCCGTCCGGCAGTAATAGCACCGCCCTGTTGCCTGTGCTCTCTGCTCACGGACACCCGCTCGTTCCACCACTTGGTGGAGTGCCTGCCTTTTCTCCATTGACTTGTTCTGGAATTTTGTCAAAAACCAATTGGCTCGTGGAGGGACTGTTTCTGGACTCTTCCGTCCCATTGGCCCGCGTGTCTGTCGCTGTCCTTGTAACGCGGGGTTACCGTGGTTATAGAGTAAGTCCTAAACACAGCAGTGTTTTTTTTTTCTACTTTTTTTGTTTTGGCCAGAAGGTGCTCATACCTACTAGAAACAGAGAGGAGGACGGAGAAAGCACCCTCCCGTGCAGTGGGGTCAGGCCGCATTCCCTCCGTCCTGGTGGGATTTGGGGTGTGAGTGCACATGTGCCTGGTGAGTCTTTCCAGCATCTGGGGCAAGGATTTGAACTGCAGTCGGCCATGCGGGATAGGCCCCCTTAGTGGCTGAGCCAAGGGGCTGGCCTGTTGGCATTTTCTATGAGGACAGCTGTGTCAGTGCGGGGTCAGAGTTATCTCCTTTCCAGTCTCCCTTCCGATGCCGTTGTGTCTCTTCTTTTCTTGCCATCGCACTGACTGGTACGCCCAGTCCTTCATGGGACAGGAGCCGTGAGCCAGTCTCGCCTAACTCTTCAGCTTAGGGGGAAAGCAGCCTTCAGCAAGTACGGTAGCTGTAGGTTTTTAAATGTCCTAAATCAGGTTGAGGGAGTTCCCTTCTGCTCCTGGATTGGTGAGAGTTTTTATTTATTTATTTTTAAAAGAATTATTAATTTAATTTAATTTATTAATTTATTTTAATTTGACCAGAGAGAGAGACAGAGAGAGAAAGAGAGGGAAAGTGAGGAAGCAAGCCACCAGGTCCAGGACTCGAACCATGGTTGGCCATGTGGGAGTGTCCAGCGCCTTAACCACCATGCCACCTGCTGGTCCCGTTTTTTTCTCTTAATACCATAAATGGAGGTTGAATTTTATTAACTGCTTTTTTTTGCATCAGTTGATACAACCACACGCTTTTTTTTAGGTGATTAGCACGGTGAGTTATACTGATTTTTGAATATTGAACAGCCTTTCTTGGATGAACTCTCTCCGGTCGTGGTGTTTTGTACTCTATGTGACTAGCTATAATTTACTAACAGGTCGAGGGGTGTGTGTGCATGGTCTTGAGGAATTTTGGTCTGTAGTACTGTTTTTGTTTACTTTTTGTATCAGGGTAATTCTGGCCTCATGGAATGAGTTGAAAGTGTTCTCTCCCCTTAAAAAAAATTTTTTTTTAAACACGATTTTTAAAAAATTTTTAATGTATTCATTCATATATTTTAATTTGACTAGAGAGACACACACAGAGAAAGAGAGGGATAGTGACAAAGCAAGCCGCCAGGTCCAGGACTTGAACCATGGTCGATCATGTGGGAGTGTCCAGCGCCTTAACCACCACACCACCTGCTGGTCCCCCATCCCCTCTTATTTCCTAGAAGAGGCTTGTACACTTGTGATTTCCTGTAATGCTTAGGAAACTCAACAATGAAGCTATCTGGCTTTGGAGAATTTCCCTTTTTGGAAGGGTTGTTTTTTATAATTATTTTATTTATTTTAATTTGACCAGAGAGAGACACACAAAGAGAGAGAGGGAACGTGAGAAAGCAAGCCACCAATTCTGAGACTTGAACCATGGTCAGTCATGTGGGAGTGTCCAGCACCTTAACCACCACGCCACCTGCTGGCCCATTGGAAAGGGTTTCATTATAGCTTCAGTGTCTTTACTTGTTACAGGGCTGCTCAGATGATCTATTTTATCACCAGTGAGTTTTGGTAGTTTGCAGAGGTCAAGGAATTGGTTTGTTTCACTTACCTTGTTGAATTTAGGTACATAAAATTCTTTATAGTAGGGGACCAGCAGATGACGTAATGGTTATGTCACTGGACTCACATGTAGTCAGCCATGGTTCAAGTCCTGGACCTGGCAGCTTAAAGCTCATGCCAGACGCGCGCGCACACGCTTGCGCATTTGTGTGTGTACATGCCCTGTGTGTGTGTGCCCAAGATCCCGAGAGGAGAATGGAGGAGAAGGGACTGCAGCATGGCCATACGCCCTAGGGGTGATTTCTCACTGTCTGTCTCTCTGGTGAGTGCATGCGCCCTGTAGCAAAAATCTCTCTAAAAAACCAAAATGATTCATAGTATCCTTAACCACCACCTGCTGGTCCCCCATCCCCTCTTATTTCCTAGAAGAGGCTTGTACACTTGTGATTTCCTGTAATGCTTAGGAAACTCAACAATGAAGCTATCTGGCTTTGGAGAATTTCCCTTTTTGGAAGGGTTTTTTATAATTATTTTATTTATTTTAATTTGACCAGAGAGAGACACACAAAGAGAGAGAGGGAACGTGAGAAAGCAAGCCACCAATTCTGAGACTTGAACCATGGTCAGTCATGTGGGAGTGTCCAGCACCTTAACCACCACGCCACCTGCTGGCCCATTGGAAAGGGTTTCATTATAGCTTCAGTGTCTTTACTTGTTACAGGGCTGCTCAGATGATCTATTTTATCACCAGTGAGTTTTGGTAGTTTGCAGAGGTCAAGGAATTGGTTTGTTTCACTTACCTTGTTGAATTTAGGTACATAAAATTCTTTATAGTAGGGGACCAGCAGATGACGTAATGGTTATGTCACTGGACTCACATGTAGTCAAGCACGGTTCAAGTCCTGGACCTGGCAGCTTAAAGCTCATGCCAGACGCGCGCGCACACACGTGCGCATTTGTGTGTGTACATGCCCTGTGTGTGTGCCCAAGATCCCGAGAGGAGAATGGAGGAGAAGGGACTGCAGCATGGCCAT